GCGAGAGGTGGTGGATTAAATGGCGTCATCAGAGTGTTACACTCGATCTGAGTTTCGCCTCCATCTTGCTCAACCAGATTTTCACCTTGAGATGATGTTGAATGGTCAATTAGAGAGCTATAGCTGGGATGTATAACTTCCTTCGGGATAGAAGATGACTGTGGAGCAGGCGAATGAGCCCTCTTATGACCTGCAAGTATTGGGGGCTGAAATGGGTGCATAGGAGTATCATATTGAATAATTTTCTTCTTCGCTTTGTATGACCTGATCTTCAGACTACCTCCAGTTTGATCCCTCATTTTCATTGTCATCATCTGTAGTATATGCTACAGACTGCGATAATTTCTCTTGATTTCTCAAATTATCTTTGCATTGAGGTTGAAATGGTTGGGAATCCTCAAGGTTATCAAAAATTTCTCCATTAATTGATTGGTCTTGTAACGTACTTCTTTCGATATTACTGACACTTGAAGATTTTCGGTTAACAGAGGTTGAATCATCTGGCACAATTTGAGGGTGTAAATTCTGAAAGCTTACTGGGGGCAGGAAGTCTACACTTGTTGTAGTAGGAGTGTTGAGGCCTAGACCACCACCACTGCGGTATTGTTGAGGCGTTAGACATTGAAGTTTTGCTATAGTCGGCCCATACATAGAGTCTTCACAGAAAGAGGCATGAGGGGTGGTGAAGACTTTGTAACTACATTTTTTCTGGGAAGTTTTGTGAGGGGCAACTATGAGAAAAATTTTGGTAGTATTTGTCTGGAAACCAAAAATTCATCCTACTTCTGCGCGTGGATCAAATTTGCCACCTTTTTCTTGCTTATTGAGCGTTCAATAAGCTTTACAGCCAAAGCGAGGGAGACAAGTGAAGTCCAAGTATTCGCAATGGGCAACTCGGAGCTCTTGATGAAATTGTAGAGTAGGCAATTTTCCAGTGGTCAGATTGTAAAGGTGATTGGTGAGGAAAACTGCATGACTTAGAGTCCAGTACCAAAAAATTACTGGCATTCCAGCATCAATTAGTAGATATCGTGCCCGTGTAATGATGACCTTACTTGATGCCTCAGCTGGGCTATTTTGTTCTGGGGTATATGGAGCTGAGATATCTTGTCAAATAACTTTGAGGCGAGCCATCTCTTGCCATTGTGAATTTCGCTGAATTTCAGTGCCTCTGTCAGAGAAGCAGACTCGAAGTGTTTTACCAAACTGATTGCTCATAGTGTTAACCCAATCAATTAGTTTAGTAGGAATTTCATCTTTCTTCAAGTCACCAAACCACCATCTCATGCGTGTTGTTGCATCTGTAATAATGACTAAGAATTGCTGTCCAAAAATATGGGGCTCCACGGGACCAACCATGTCAACAAAAACTTCGTCTAGAGGCACAAATGGAATAGGCCTTGGCGTCCGCGTGATAGTGCGCTGAGATTTACTGAGATGACACGCTTTGCAATGTGATAGCTCACTGGTTTCAAGTCCTCCCAAACCTTGGGCAAAAGTCTTAGTTTTGGATAAAATTAATGGTCCGACATGACCAAGCCGCTGATGCCATCTATTGGCAGTGGTGCATTTCTGAAGTTTGGCTACAGCGGGTTTTATTAGAACTGACACTGATAAATGAAGAGGTTTCTCTGAATGTTTTGTCTTATCAAGTGCTACAATGATTGAAACATTGTTGATGGAGACAAGCTGAACTACTGGAACTCGATGGCCGTTTACCAATTGGACAAGCGGACTAGCTTGGCGGTCTTCTAAGATATTGGCAAAACGGTAGGCTCGACCGGCTAAGATTAAATTTATTGAAGACTGCAGAGAGTATAGAGCGTCTGCAAGTTTGAGATTGAGACTGCCGACTTTTACCCGTGCTGTACCTCCATGGCTGAGAGCTGATTTGATGACAGCTTGATCGAGCCGTAAGGGCTTGCTAAGCTTAGCTAAACTGATAAACGCCGAACAATTGTTTATGAAGTGGTTGGAGGTGCCAGAATCCCAGATTAACGTATCTTTTGTAATTGTGTGGCCAGAACTGCTAGCTATCAAGGCCAAACTTTCAGAGATAGCTGTCATAGCTATTGATGGCTCGTCACTGCCAGAATCTTCATTTAAAGTTGCAGTATTGGCACGACCTTTGTGATTTATATCCTTGATGCTTCTAGCTCTACTATCACATAGTTCAGGGTGCTGGACTCAACTATTCCTGTTGATATGTTATGATTTGAGATGGAGTTGACAAAATTCATTTAGACCTTCGTTGCGCACTGCCGCTACTTTAATAGAGTTATCATATTCAGTAGTCCGATCGCCTGCAGTAGATCTGAGTGTAGCCATCATCTGTTCTAGAGAAGCGTAAGCATGTTGGTCTCGATCAATTGCCCCTGTTGCTCTCCAAGTTTCAAGCCACTGAATGTGAGATGTTCCTTCGAAGAACATTACTGCGGCAAATCCATCAGAGATACCGTATTCTACAGATCCATTAACTGTGGACTCCAAGTTTACTGCAGCATTGCGAAAATTTGTAAGATCCTTCTGGAATTCATTACAATAGTTGGTAGCGTTTGTAGTAAACTCGGTATCTATTAGTTTCTTTTAACAAGTTCTATATGGAATTGCTGCTGAAGGCTTGTGTGTGTTTGCAACCATTGTGTAGAGTTGAAGTGCTGTGAGGTTATTCACTGAATCTGGTCTAAGGCTGTGGTCAAGCCTTCGTAAGACTATTCCATAAGCATGCAAGTCCTTCATTTTCCACGCTTCGAGTTCATCCAGATACTTGTCATATTTTTCAGTATCCTTTTCATCTCCCAGTGTGATCGGTGCGACTGGAGAAGTCTTAGGTCGGATTTCAGGGACGTTGTGAAAGACTTAACCAGCTAATCCATCCTGCGCAAGAGCACTCCGGAGATCGGAAGACCATGTGGTGAATGGAACACCAGTTTGAGTATGATAGCTCTCTTATCTTCCTTGGTGCTTGACATTGATGTTAATTTAGTTCCTGTTTAGAAGTTTTCTGTTTATTTTCCTATGGATCCGATGTTCGATAATGAACTGATGATAAGCGCTGCACTAAATCTGGGCTATAACCTATTATAAAGAGATGGATCTTGAGGAAGAGGAACGTATCTAATGTCGTGAATTACAAGGAATTATGATTGACTATATTACAATGAGTGTCAGGATACTTAAACACGGTGCAAAGAATGTAAACTGTATGTCACGTTTCTGCGGTTGTGTTGGTGGATCTTGTCTATTCTCCTATTCTACAAAACACTGCAAATACTCATAATGAAAGATGACTAATCTATGACTAACATTGGAAAGTGAGGCCATGACATTTATACCAACACTGGCAACTACATAATGAAAATGATACAAAAATCCGCACTTAAAGCTGTAATTCCCATCATATATTTTCATATCTTAATTACTGTTATTTGTTACTCGTTACTGGTTCCTTGCACCCATTCCATGGTATTTAGATTAAGTCTATTGGTATCAATGAAAAGTTGGAGAGCTGTTGAAGGATTGCTTTTTGTCATTGAGTCTGCTGGATTACTGTTACCGTCAATCCATACAACCTTGATAAATTCGCGTCTTTCTTATGATTGACGTAGACAAATGAGGTCGACCATCAATCTCTTTTCTTGTGTTGTACCGAGTTTGACAAGGCAATTGTAAAGAGATTTGGAATCGGTGCATACAATTAAAGGTATAATAGTCCGCAATAGCTGTTCAATAGTTGACTTTACTGCGGCGCCAATACCAAAACCATGAACCATGGCATATAACTCTGATGCGAGAACACTTCTTGCAACTCTCTTGCATTTGACCAATGACCAATGGATTATATTAGCTTGATTTGTAGCGTCTACCAGTACGAGTACATAGCCAATTTGTGATGAAAATTCCTTATTATTTGCAAAGGATGCATCGGTAAACGCATAGAGGTATAGTGTTTTTGTATCTAGTTTCACAAAATTGAGTCTCCTTTGTCCGTTAGTTTTCTGCCACTGTAGGCATTTATTGAGGGCAGCTATGTTGTTCTGTTGGGGATTGGTTACTTGGGCAGCAAAGGAGAGATCGAAAGAGGCTTCAGGTTGACACATAGAAGCAATATAAGCTCCTCTCGCTCGTCGCGCAACATATTGTTCTTTGGTAGTAAGATCTCTACAGACAGTATTGCAAGAACTTGTGGATGATGTATTTACCTCAGCTACTAAATTGAGATTTTTGCATTGACGTTCTTGAGTTAATCTTACGGTTTTCGTGTCAGTCAGCTTATTAATCATACAACCGTTAAATCTCAGGGGATGGTTTTGTGCAAGAGTTTCTCGTTCTTTTGCTGGGAAATTCGCCTTTTTAAGCTTGTCTTGCTCCGCAGTAGCAAATCAGTCATTGGCCAGAAAGAGAGTATCATCAGTTTGAAGACCGACAATACCAAGCTGGTCCGGATTATAGCACCAGAGGAGACATGGGTCGAGAGTTGATGCATTCATGCAAAGCTCTTGGGTGTGGTGATTGTGATATGTACGGAACCAGTGATTTCATGCTTCTGGTATTCCGTATAGAGGCTTAACAACTTTCAACAACGTGCCTCTTTCTAGACCTAGTTCGACACTCAACTCGTGCGGAGGGCGTATATATATATTGCAATTCAAATTGGAGGTGGATTGTACGTATGCTTGCAATATATCACGTAAATAGAGGTTTGTTTCCGCAATTGAAGACGTCATGCAGAGAATAAGCCTTTGGCTGACCCTTTGAGTTGTAGGAGATTGAGTTAGGATAGATTCTTTTTCAGTGTCATTATATGCCTGGACAACAAGTCTTGATTTCTCGAAGGCATTATTGGTACCGTTGTGCTTTACTTGGTCAACAAATCTTGAATTGAAAACCCTAGTGCCAGCAGGTATGTTGATGTTTTCAACCAACTCGAAGACGTTTATCTCTAATAGCCCAGTAATTTCTTTCTGGTGGGACAGTTTAAATTGACCACTCTCATGAAATTACGCTGATACAATTGCTGCGTTTACTTCAGTGGCATACCGGCGAGGTCTACCAACTTGACGTTTGGGTCTTCCAGACTGTAGTGAATCGACTGCAAGGGGGTCATTTTCTGAAGAGAATGTTACTTGTTCCATTGCAGTAATTCCGAAATCATCGTTGTCCGGAACCAGCTTTGTTGTTTCAGTTAAGTACGGTTTGACACTTGTGCTCCGAAACTTAGTAGGTCCACTGGGTAGCTCAAGAGTGCAGGTCTCACTGTTGACGTCTAAAAGTTTGTAGGGGACAGTCCAGCTTCCCGCTTGATTTGCATTACCTTCTCGCCATACCATCACCGGCGAGTTGAGCGGCAAGGCATGTATTGCCGTAGTGGAAGGACCGTTTCTCATATTTAGTGCATCATTGACTTGCCGTGTGGCACGGATTTGCTCTAGCTCCTTCATGGCTTTACGAAGAGCTTCCGTTCTTTGTGTCACTGAGGGCGAGGTAGCATCTTCTTTAACCATACGTGGATATGCACCAAATACCAAGAGGATAGGAACCAGACCATTAGGTCCCACGGAATCATTTATAGCTTTGAAAGTCATTTTCAAGGCTAAAGCTTTGTTAATTCCAGGAATTTCTGCTGTGATTATTTGGTAGATACGGCGAAGGGGGCCGTGATATCTTTCGACTACGCCTACGGAGTTATGAGCCTCTACTGGCACACTTTTTGTAGTAGAGCCAACATTAATGGCACACTGCTGGAATTCCCTACTGGCAAAATTTTTACCAGCGTCATGTGGGATTATATCCGGTGGTCCCAAGTAGGTATTAATCCAGCAATCACATAGCAAATCCCAAGTACTCTTGGCAGACATGTTCTTTAACCACCTGCCAGCTTGGAATCTTGTGCCTTCATCAATGATATGTAGGAGAGGATTTCCGTCAATATACATTACATCAGCAAAGATGCAGTAATTAAACTGAACATCTTCTTTTAATGTAAACTTGAATTGTCCGGGCAATTTACCGTACTTTTGGCAGTGTTTGCAAAACCGTGTGATTGCTTCTAGGGATTTGCGGTGATTGAAATCTCCATGTCCTGAGCGCTCTAATATACGATGAAGCCTATGAATAGAAGGGTGGACAAATCTATGGTGAAGCTGTTGGAGCTCAATGTTGGGAAGATAGCAAGGGCATTGGTTGAAAGATTCAGATATATAAATCGAGAGTGAATTATCCCACAGCATGAATGGATGACCAAATCTTCGTACGACTGGCACAATTCCATGAGGTGTCACTAAAGTGTTTGTCAGATTGTTGAAGTAAGTTTTTAGCTTATCCATATCTGCAAGACACAGTAGAAAAGGAGTATCAGCCCTGAAAACATGAAATTCAATTCTTCTAATTAGTGAATCTACTTTTATCAATCCAATTGATGATGTAGACCCGATTCCAAACTGAACATTCACTAGTCCTTTATCAAGTTTGTTTAAATTTAAAACATTATTATTAAGCTTTTGAAGTGCATTATATTGGCCATAACCCGCGGTTGATCTCTTAGAAGCCCCTGTGTCAATCATGATACCCATAAATGTTTCGGAGGTGTAACAAAGAGGAGATGTTGTATAGGCAAAGGGATCAGCTTCAGAGGAGCTAGGCGCAATATTTTTAGTGGTAGTGAGAGCGTGAATGGAGGATCTGTTTGATGTATCTGCTGCCATTTCTGGCATTATAGATCTAGTAGCAGTGCAACTGATTTCCCCGAATGAAGTCAAGAAGACGTCTGATTCGTCTATTTCTCGAGCATTGTTGTTACCACCTTGTATTTCAAGCTCCAATGCTTTAAAGGCGTCTTCAAATTCGTCGCTATCTACGTAGGATTCATCATCACCTTCACAGTCGACTATATATTGATGATGTTGTTTTTTGAAGCAATTTCTGTCAACAAATCGAGATCCTAGCTTTTCTTTAAGTGAAGTTCGAAACTTTGCCTTATATCTTTCGCGTTCAACATTGGTATGATTCCATGAACGACATTCTTCTTTGCCACATATATAACATGTCTTGCCTTGCGTGTTATTTTTACTGGTTTGTGCTTGACCTGTTTGATGATATTGTCTGTCTGTGAAGAATGCATCTTGGTTGACATTGAATTGGTCATTTTTCTCTTCTCCTTCATAGGCCATTATAGAGTTCTGTAGCTGATTCAAGAGTTCACCAACTTTTGGTGGCGGGTTCGCGATGGCATATCTGCAAGCTGGAACGCCTTTGCACACAGTAATAATTTTGTTGTGCATAAAAGTGTTGGTACGGAGATCTTCTGTTAGGCCATGCTGGATCTCTCTCAGTGTTTGGACCAAGATTTGCAGACATTCGGATGTTGACTTAGCTTTATTTTGTAACATAATCAACTCTAAAGATGTTTCGTTCCATTTGCCTAGATTTCTTCGGTTGTAACCAGGACCTTCAAAGAATTTATGAAGATGGTCAACTACTTGCTCAAAAGTCAAGTACGACAGATTTGCTGCGAGGTAGTGCTCTTTTGCGAATCCTGACAGCATTACTGAGAGTACTCTTGGATATGCCTCTCTGGGTACACCAGTGAGATCACAGAGGTGGTGAAAATTCGTCAATTTGTGATCTATACTATCCCCAGTTCCTTCGTGTTTTGCCTCGCCAGAATAAACCTTAATCAAGTTCGACATCTGCGCAACGTACGTAGGAGGAGGTATTGGTGACATCGGTCCGAGAGCCTGTACTCTTTGCGTGGTTTGTGAAGGTAGTACTTTTGAATCGGGCAAAATTGGTTGTAGGGGTACTTGCAGGTCGGAAGGTTTTTCAGTCTTGAACTCGCTGCCATTGTCGCTGTATTTCTCCACGATTATATTATCTACTTGGGTTGCATCAAGACGTCGTTTCAGCTTTACTGATTTCAGAGGCTCTTCTAATCGTTCAGCGGCATTGATGACATTGCTGTCAGACCATTTTTGCTGTTCTTCTTCCTTTGCGCAATTGTAAAGTGCCTGTGAAATAGTGAGCCTACTTGTGTTGCGATCTATGTAAACTCCTCTACTTAAGAGGCAATCTCGTAGCCGTTGAATTAGTTTCAGTTTAGGGCTTTTGAAAGCAGCTATTGTGAAGGTTGCGAAGTCATCTTGGTACTGTTCTGTTGGAAATTCAGACTCTATGTGTCTGAAGTTTCCCATGATTGGAACAACTAAGATTCTCACACATGACTCACGACCTAGATGATTGATATCTCCCTTACTGAGCATGTTTGATGCTTGAGACTCGACTAGTGCATGGTATGGTGTTGTGCTGGTGATGGCTAGGATTGCGATGCACAAGGGTAATGATCACTGAGGGTGAAGGAAGAACTTTCCAGGTGGCTCCATGATGAGTAGAGGAACAATGGAGCACTGTATAGAAAGTGTTTCTAGATTGTACTGCCAGGTGGAGGAGACTAGAATATTCCGTGATACTATTTTGGGTAAATGAGGCGAGAGTCTAGCTACCTCAGATGTGTATATAACTAGCGCTTTCTACCTCCTAAATCCTCATAGTTCTGAATATCAAATATATCAGCAGTTCACATTGATTCATCGATAATCATCTGTAAACCTTCTGCCAATTAACCTCCGTAAGCTCTTACCTTTACAACATATGGTCTGATACACGTGTAGGCTTTCATCCACCGACCCTGACCCCATACTAATATTGTGTTGGTAAAAGGATTATACTTGGGTGTTATGAATTGTTCTATGTAATTGCGGTGTTAAGGATGTTGTTAGGACTTTGGCAGGGATCTGATTTAGCTTATTAGCGAGGCGCTTGGAGTAGAGGAAGAAAGGGCAGAGGGAGAAGGGAAGGAGAGACAATGTTTTATATATTTCGAGATACCAGTTAATTGACATTATTCACCGACTTTGTGACGGACAGCTGACTTTGTGACGGCACCTAATTTGTATTACTTCGTGTTTTACCAACATATTGTATACTGTCGTGTGCTTCATTGTCATTGTTAGAGTATGGAACGAGTGATGGATGGTATCTAGTCTGGATTTGGTCTATCAAGATTACATGTATATAAGCTGTCTAGGAATCACTAAGACAGATAATCTACTCAATTCAATTTATTCAAACCATATTCTTTGAGCCGCCTTACTCATCGAACCCATACCGGCTTTTCAACATGTTCCCATAGATTTGAGTTAGTAGTATTGTCTTTTTCGTAGAAATGAATCTTCGTTTCTATGTAGGAACTGATATCATAAGGAGTTGCCGTGCTAAGATTGATTCCTTCAACCCATTTGGCCTCTAAAGCCTTCCAATCTTGTTCCGTCATTTTTAGAATTTACGCTTTTGAAGAGTCAATATATCTTAAGAGGGGGGAAACAATATCCTTTCAATTCGATATTATTAACTCTGCTAAAGAAGAATCAAAACCGTCGGCAATAATCAATCAATAAGATACGCTATCAAGCTTCCGGATAGATACTTCCTCCTCTTCGGCTGAAATAGAAGTTAAAGGTGGGAAGCAATATCCTTCCAATTCTACTTATTTCCTGATCAGTGCGCGCTCACTGATCAGTGTCAGGATACTTAAACACGGTGCAAAGAACGTAAACTGTATGTCGCGTTTCTGTGGTTGTGTTGGTGGATCTTGTCTATTCTCCTATTCTACAAAACACTGCAAATACTCATAATGAAAGATGACTAATCTATGACTAACATTGGAAAGTGAGGCCATGACATTTATACCAACAATGAGACTGGATGCAGTAATGAAAGAACGCCTGCACGCAAAGATAATTGCATGTGATGCACAATTACAACAACCGCCCACCACCACAGCAGATTCACAGCACCTAAAAATTGCAAAAGAGTACGACCAGCTGTCCGCCATAGTGCTTCACACAACGCGCTCTTGAATCATTGCATTCCACCTACAAAATTCTGCCACATATATCTCTCAATCACTCATGCTGCCCCAGTCCTCTGCAGAGGCTGGCATTTGGCCCCCCCCTCCCACCCGTAAATTCGACGCGTCCTGACGTCGAAATGGTCCTTAACGGGCCACAACCGCCATCACAACCACCCACACAACAATTTGTAGAGCCAATCTACGAGGTGAGTCATCCAAACTCACCCAACTTCCCAACTCCGTCGCCTCAAATTGTCGCAACCGAACTCCTATTCGAACAGGGCAGGATATTCCAGACGCGCTCTGCACAAGCCGAGCGCTTTATCATCGGGCTCTGCAAGCTACTGGAACCAGTCACTGACGAGAGACTTCGAAAACTCTTTGATCAGGACTTACAGGCCCTTCAGGACAAGATCTAGGAAATTCTGTGGGGCAACCCATCTCAAGCAGACGCCTGCGCTCCTGCAAAGACTGTAAGTGGCCATACTAACCCATCTAATCCGGCTCAAGTTACAGAGCCTGCTAAACAAAACCCTGCAAGCGTCACACGTCCAGTGCTGATCCTTGCCAGAGAAAAGAACAGACCGGCACCATCAAAGCCGTCTGCCACAACAGCAACTCTCCAGCCTAACCAGTGCTCGAACATAACCAACAACAATGCCACAAAGAAATCTTGGACCGAGGTTTTGGGAAAAAGAAACAAGCCAGCAAACCAAGTGGCTCCAACTTCAACACTCAAGACAGTGCCAATGAGGCCCGTCTTCGCGCCGAAGCCTAAAGCTCCAGCGACAAACCCCCAACGACCTGACAAGCGCATATTCTTGCGCCTCAGACCTGACCACTCGTGGAGATGTATGTCACCCTACTTCGTTAAAATAAGCCTAGGTAGCAAGCTGCGTCTGACCAACTCGACAATCAAACAGGTCACTGTCGTGGACTCAGGGTTCGCAATACAAGGCGAAGGGGAAGGTGCAAGAGGTGCACTTCTCTCAGGAGGAGCCATATTAGATAGCTTAGAAATGAAATTGGAAGCCGCCTCCGACTGGATCTCAGTTCTGGCAACAAATATCCTAGACAAGCTTTACACTCTGGAAGGGCCCACCATAGTGACACCAGAGATGGTAATAGAAGAAGCAGCTCTCAAAACAGGAGTTAGACCAACCTCAGCTCGTGCTTTCGCTACTAGCATGGCCAGGCCGTCAACGGTCTGGGTGTTGCACTTCGCAACAGGAAAACCGAAACCTGGAGAAAGACTGTTTGAAGAAAGCGGGCGCCTTCACGAACTCCAGCGCAAGCTCAAAATTGCGCATTGCAACCGATGCTGGGGACACCACCCAGCTAAAATTTGTTCACAAGCAGAGCGCTGCACCCGCTGTGGCTCAATTGAGCACAAAGCTACTGAGTGCAAACAGGCCATTCCAAGGTGCATCAATTGCCACGGGCCACATGCTGCAACTGAGCCTAACTGTATGGCTAGGCCGACACGGGCTGGTGGGAAGACGGTGCCTCGCAAAAGGGACCAGCTGTCAGTGATCCACGAGCAGGGTCAAAAAGAAAGGAATGCTTCGATCAGAGAGATGGAAGCAAAGCAGAAAGCCACAGAGGCTACTGCTAAAAACGAAAATATAAACGTTGCTCAATGCCCCAAAGGGACCACAACCCAACCGAGCTTCAAAAAACGGCAATAACAATCTCTTTCCTCTGCGCTAATCTGGGCAGAAGAGACCCGGCTACGGACATCATCCTGCAATCAGCTTGGGATTCGGGAACCGATGTCCTACTTATCCAGGAACCCTGGGCCCAACATAAGGACGGCTTCTGGCTCACCAAGTCGCATCCTGGATTTGATAGGCATTTGACTCCCTGTGTTGCTGCTAACTCTTCAAGGCCACGCTCCCTCATCTACACGCGAAAAGGGATCCATTGCCAACAGCAAGCAATCTGCGAGATATCACCAGATCTCACCGCAGTAACAGCAGAAGGAGTCACATTTGTCTCCGTCTACCGCACTCCTGGAGCAGACCTTTTGCCGCTGCTATCATGGGCTCCATCCGGACCTACAGTTATTGGCGGAGACTTCAATGCCGCTTACACCGACTGGCAGCCAATGGCTACTAGGCTACATAGCGACGGCCAGGTGCTCACCAAGTGGATTTTCGAGCACGGCATTGACCTATCTTCCACACTGGGCGTCCCGACACACGACTTTGGAAACACACTCGACCTGGTCTATTCTAACGCTGGTGCCCTTGTAGATGTCTT